GAAGCCACGGCGCAGGGAGGGGAGCAAAGCCTTTCTGCCATCTTCTTTTTTCTAATGACAACCATCTGATACATCCCCTTCTCCCAAGAATATTCAAAAGGCTACTGCCCCAAAATATAATTGGAGTTCATAAATCCAAGCCATCATGAAAGCACAGAAGTCAAAGCAGAGAGACGAGTGGACAGATGCTGATACCAGTGTTACAGGATTTAGAAGAGCAGCACCTCGGGCCCAAGACAACAGTGGAATTTAGGTGCTGGAGGACAAGCACGTCTTTTGCGGATAATTTACTGCTTTCAAACACACACAAAGGAAGTTTGGGGACCCTACTGGTCTTCTTTTTAGTTTATCTTATTTAGTATTTTTCCCCCAATTTTTCTTCCTGTTTCTAGGTGACCTCCCTCCTGTGACAAGGTCTCCCCATTACGACAGTGAGCTCTGATGATAATGTAGGTAACATTCAGACTGAGACCAAGTGCAGCAGAAAGCTATATTTCACTCCTGACCTTCAGCTCCCCCTCTAGTGCAATGCACACATTATATTTCCCTTCACTCATAGCAGGACCAGTGAAACAGCACCAGATGAAATAAGTGACATTTCTTTAGCTAGGTAGCAGGGAAGAATAAAACAGTTCTGCCATTTCCACTGCGCACGCAATACTTGTCACACAACTTTGCCCAGCCACATTAGCAGCTGGGTTGGCTGCTTAGCAGAGCAGGAGAAGGACAAAGAGGAGGCAGATGCACTCACAGCACACCTGAGATGCTCTGGGGAAGCTCCCAACCCCACCCCACCAGGTTTTCATCCATCCCCGCCCATCCCAGCCGAAATGACAAACCCAAAGTTCATGAGATGCTCCTATGGGTTCGCTCCTCTCCACCACCAAGAGCTGCACCGCACAGTAGCTCTGGCAGAGCTCCAGGCACATCCCTTTATGTGTCAGGCCTGAATCTCTTCATATGCTAGGGTAGAGCTGCATGTACAGTACTTTCTTTACTTCCAAGGCGTTTTTGCCATCTGTTTCTATTATGGGAGTTTATGGCACAGAATACCTCAGACAGTACAGTATCTGTTTCTTTTCTCTGCTGCAGTTATGGTTGCTGTACTGCTTTATGAACAGAATGATAAAACTTAGAGCCTTCTTAATTCTCTCCTTTCCACCCCCATTTTTTTCATAGCATGTTGCAGAAATTGAAGGATTTTTTTTTTTTTTTTTTTACAGTTCATATTATTATGATGAGAAGTGATTTGAAAGAAAGTATGGAATTTATCAGGAAATGGAAATGTGACTACAAGGCAGCTTTTAAAAATCCTTTAATCATATCATGATTAAGAAGGTTTTTATATTGTTACTTCTACGTTCTGAAGTATATAGAATTTTGTTATAGTCTGAAATTTGCTTTTTACTTTTTTTTTTTTCTAAGAAAGAAGATCATTCTCAGTATATATAGTCCCTCATTCACATCCATTAAGTTCCTACACTGAAGCAGAGACCCCGCAAGGAAAATGGCTCTCTGGATTTTCATGAGTAATACTGCACAATTCTTTGCACCCCCAAATCAACACATTCACCTGAAACCAGCGCTGTGTCAATGCACTTCTGTCCCCAATCCCCCACCATGCAGTCTCTGAGAATCCCTCATTCTTGCAGAGAATCATTACTTTTCTGCTGTAAAGTGGTTTTTTTTTAATTTATTTTTATTTTTATTTATTTTTTTTTTTTTGTGACAAGGAGAGCTATCATTTGTATGCAACAGCATTTTATTTTAACAGCACGTAGATGGTGGATGTTTGCAATCATCCTCATTGTCTCTAGCCCAAGAGGAGGCGGAGCTGTTGCACTCTTCTTAAAGAATGAATGAATGCAGACTTATGGGCAGATTAGATAGGTATGAATTTGGCAAAGAAATCAAATATAGACACAAAGAAATATCCTATTTGCCCATGGCTGGTTTGATCACATGGTGACCATCTGGAATTTAGATCAAGCCTCCAATAAAATGCAAGGGACCACACTTCTGCAGCAATGATAAATTAATATCTGAGCTGGAAGTACTACAAGAAAACAGTGATAAAGAAGACAAAAGCCACATCTCACATACTCCAATTGCACTCCATTTCCTGGTGTTTCTTCACTTCCCCTCCTCCCCCCACCCATTAATATAAACATTATATGAGAAGTATAGTGAGAGCAATAAAAAATAAATGGCAATTAGAGCCAAGATCCAGAGCTAAGACAGGAGGAAAAAAGGAACAGAAACATTGGTCCTGATGGCCTTTTCCTGTTCCAATTTTTTTTAATGTTCTTCTGACCTTGATTAGATCTGCAGCTTCTCATGTGAGGCTTTGAGATGAGTCCTATATTTAGATTTAAAAAAAAAGCAGTACCACAAATGAACTGCAGAGCATGCAGGGATCCATACATATTTTGCCACATTTTCTGAATCACACTATTGCTACTTATTTGCCCTCTTGCTGGAAACTGATTTACCACATTAACTCTCCGAGGCAACCTGCAAAACCCCAAACTTGGACCCTCTGAGTTCCTTCAAGAGGGACTGCATCCATGGGCTAATTGCATTCTGGCACATCCCCATTTCCTGCAGCACCTGGTCAGAGCAGCAGCTGTGGTGGGAATCTCTTACATCAAGGCCAAAGCACAAAGCTGTCCCCAAAACACAGAATCTGGTGGCACTGGCAGAAGTGACAATCCCCTTCTTCCCATATGCCCAGTCCTCCATCACTGAAATGCCACACATGGCCAGTGTCCTCACTTGTGGGTAGCACCACACAGGCAAATGCCTCTTTAGTTAGACTACCATGTTGGTTCAGCTGGAAACCAGTTTAGGAGAGCGAACACATTCATTTTCAGCTCACTCTGCAGCTACATGAAGGTGGCACAAAGGATGCCCCAGGTTTAAGCAATCCCAACCTCCATCAGCTTAACAAAATGACCGCATCACACCCCAGTCCTCCCTCCTCCTATGAAGTGCATGGTTTCTACATGACTTACAGGTCCTTTCCTGTTCTCAGGCCAATAACTCACACCTCATGGCAAATTCCCACCTTCCAGTCAGAGATATTTCTGTGGCCTTAAGAACACGGGAGTCATCTCCTTCCTCTGCCTTCTTCCCAAGGTATGGAAAACCACTACATGCTCAGCACATGCATAGTGAAGGCCATTAGAAAGGCTGTGGGAACCCAAAATTCACTGCCACAGCTTCTGAGGGCTCAGTGCCATGGTTTGGACTGCCCCAAGAGCCCCAGCAGAGGCACCACATCTGCACAATGCATTCTAAAATCTCCATCATTACCATTCTTGCGATCTTTCACTTCTTGGTGAGAAAGGCAGAAGAGAAACAAAGTAATTACAATTGCCATTTCCAGAAATATGGATCAGAATACGTTTCATTACTCCTTTTTGCAAATCCACTGACAAGCACGGGGCTGGCATCCCACCATCAGCCATGACTATGTCTGTTCAGAAGTACAGATGCCCCTTTGTAAGTCTTCTCCAAGTGAAAATGAAAAGACCTCGTTTTTCATGGACAGGATGGATGCATGTCACTTTGACCCATGGAAGTAAACACTTGTAATGGATAACATAAAACAAATATAATCTATCATGGTAAAAGGTAAAAAAAAAAAAAAAAAAAAAAAATCAACAACAACATTTGAGAAAAAAAACAGGGTACTTTGTATTCCTCCTTAACAAATAAAGTGCTCAAACTATGCTTTAATTCAGAGGTAACATTCACCTTTCCTGTGATTTCCTTTCAGTTCTATCAGAGGACATTAAGAAACTCCTCTGTGGCCGTCAGCTCCTCCATGTTGTCAGAGAACAGATTTTAAGAACTAAACAAAAAACTAAAGGTTAGAAAAATCCAACAACCTTTCAGTTTCATTTGTATTTTAGGCTTAAAGGAGTGAATTTTTTTTTTTTTTAATTTTTTTTTGCTCGCTGCTTACAGATCAATACATTATTTCAGTAATAGAAATACTAATGTCCTTAAATCTATATTTTTTCTGCAAATCACCAAAAAGTCTCTCCCAGATTAGGCCTCCCAAACAACTGATTTAGTAATGTGTCACAGGAGCCTCAGTCCATCATTTTTCTCTTTTCCAGGGCTGAACGAAATGCTTACTGGGACTGTACTTTAAATTCCAGCCAATGGAAAGCAATGATTCACCATTTACCTGCCCCTGACACGTTTTTATGTAAACTGTTGCAAAGGGAAGGGATTCACATATGTTGTACAAACTCCACTGAAATATGAATAAAAGGCATCCAAGGTTCAAAGAGTTAAATTACCCGATGGTTTCCCTCGCTGTGCTCGCCCCCAGCCAGAGCCCCTCTTCCCTCTCCAGGCTGTGCTTGATTTATGGTGTGATCCATCCCTGTTGGGAGTTGACAGTCACTTTCATTTTCTAGTATTTTTTTTCCTTTCACTGCCAAGGTCACAAGAGAGAGGGCCCTCCAAGTTTTCTGCATTCGTCCTCCTTCACCCTTCCACCGGCTTGGCCTCATGAATCATCCCGTCTTCACATTGAACTCCTGATGCTTCTCTTCCACCAAACTGCCCGACTTCCGCAATTTTTCTTCATTCTCACTAACAATTTGGTAATGAAATATTGATTTTTAGTTAGATTCAAATAGATGTTATTAAGTTTGCATTGATAAATCGTTCCCTTTCTCAGGCTGGAAGTACCTCAGTCAAATTCTAACTGCGCTTTCATACCTGGTGATGTATTAATTTGACATATTTGTCACCCAAGCTGCCTGGCTCAGAGTTAGAGGAGGGCGCCTGTCCTAATTGCTGCTATTTCACACAGAAGGTGTAATTCTCACTGATTTCTTCCAAGGGTTTTATCCCTAAAAGATCTATGTCATTATTTTCCATGTTTTGCTTTTGTTGTTTTTTTCTTAAAAAAAAAATAAAAAAAAAATTAGGAAAATAAGAAAACCAACATTGTTTTCCAGAATGGAGGGACAGAAATATTAAAAAAAAGAAAGTACTGGACAATTCATCTAAAATGTTTTCTGTTAAATGTACTAGTTAAGATGTTTTAAATACCAGCAAATCAGCCAAGGATTCAAAGTAGTTTTAATACGTCTCAGTGAGAGCTGCTGAAGTATAAGATTTCCATACTATCGGCTAAAAAGTAACCACTCCCATAACTGGTTAAACGAAGTGACCACTGTCTGCTGCAATAACCCCTCAGTCAGAGTTGAAGGTGCTCCACAGAAACAGGAGGCAGCAGAATCCATGTCAGCATTGCATCATCTTTCACCTACGCAGGGGATAAGGTTCCTGAGAGTCCGCTGAGGGCAAAAATTGATAGAAACACAAATAAATTACATTGAAAAGAGACATGCACTTGTCCCCTCTGAAATACCCAGGCCTTGTTCTCTACTTCTGGGCTGCTTCAAAAATAGCTGCTTCCCAGCCCTCCACCCTCTGCAGCTGGCGGTGGACAGAGGTGCCCGATGGCATGGCTCCTTCTGCTGCTCAGGGCAGAGCTTGCAGAAATCCAGCTCAAGCCCAACTGACAGAAAGGGCAGCAATGGCACACACATTTTTGTTCCTGCTCTATGTACATCTCAAGTAACAATTAGTTTTAAATTACCCACAGCTCAGTTAAAAGTTTCATCTGAGGTTTGCATCCACTGCAGGCTTGTGTTTCAATCAGACTGCAGCTTGAGCTGCCTTTTGCACACAGGTGCCTGCACCAGTGAAAATTCCCCCTTCCTGCAGTATTCCTGCAGCAGGGACCGAGACATGTCCTTTGTGCCACACGTACAAAATGAACTCCATGCTGATTGCGACTGGAAAAGCACAAGTGCGATTTCTTACCCACTGAAGTCAAAGCTAAGAAGTCAACCTCCAAACCAGAAAAAAATCACCAGCAATATGCTACTACCTGTCCTCTCAGAGGAGTATCGAGCTCTGTTTGCTGACTGATTTCAAGAGACAGGCATTGATGAATAAAGCCCAATTGCTTCCTATGCTCCAGTGTCACACCTTTTTATTTACAAGATAATTTAGAATATAAGAGGAGGTTATTCTTGGAAACTAGCTTTCAAAATGTCAAATGCATTTAGTTGGTGCCAGCAGAAAGCTTAATTTTAAAAAGAAAAAAAATTATAAAAGGAAATGTTTTTCAACACAACAAAACTCTAATTCTGAGCAGTGGAAATATTTACTGTGCAAGAATTTAAGTTTAGGGTCGTGTTTTTCACATTTCCTATGCTACCTGAAGTGAGGCAAGCGCAACGTTTTACCGTCTGCGACGGCTGCTGACTCCACCCATAGCCATCACAGCATTTCTTAAAATAAAACAAACTGGAAAAAAAAGATATAGCAGCATAAAGCAGCCTTCATTACCTCCTCTCCACATAGATACAGTAATAAGACTGTTTAAATGATTCAGACAGCAGAAGGGATGCATAGATTCCTCTGCTTATGTAAGTTCATTTGTTCTTCTCACATTCCTCCTTTAACATACTTCCAGGATTATTTAGTGCAATAAGTAATTATCAATCCGCTTTGGAAAGCCATTACGCATTCACATACTCTTTGAAGCTGCTGTTACTTTTATGGTTTCTAATGCCAAAACAGCAATGTGAGGCAAGAGCCTCTCTAAGAGCAGGTTATAGTGAGTTCAGCATTCGGAATACAATTTGTAGGATGCATATGGGAATGAGTCATTTCTGAGCAACATAAAACTCTGAGTTATCAAACCTTTCTCTAGTCAATTATTTTTCTTTACTATGCTTACTAGTAATGACAACTGTTATGAGAAACACACTGCAGTGTTTTTCTACTCACTATTATTAATCTGGTGGAAAAAAAAATATATAGCTGGACCAATGCACCCCATTAAGAACACAAGAAAAAAGCATGACAATTTAGAAGGCAAAGCTAAAACTCGGACATTTTCTGCAGCCTATCTATCCTTCCATTGATGGGCAGGTATTACAGAACACAAAGTGAAATGATCCACCAGGTAGCCCCAGTGAATTAAAAAGCTGAGCAGAAGTGCGACTGACACCCTGCCAGAGCAGCCTACCAGCTCTATTGGATAAATACACACTTTGGGAATTAAGACACATACATGTACAAGCAGCACTGACTGTAGTGGCCTCTTGGACCATCAAGTACTAACAGTATATGCTAAATAAGCAAAAATGGTTTTAAAAAAAAAAGTCAGAGTTCCTAGTTTGGAAAGTTTGGACCACATTCAGAGCCCAACCTGAGTATCTGGCCACACCATCACTTCAAGGACAGCAGCAACAGGCTGGCCATGCCTGCTTTCCCTGCACACAGAGGCATAGTGCACAGATAACAATCCCCAGGTATAGGCACCTCAAAATCACATTCATAGATTTGACAAGTCTATATGATAAAAGTACAATTCGCAGTTTGTCACTTGCTCCTAGCTATGCATTTGTAACATAGTACATGTGCAGGTGATGCTGTAATTCACCCTAGCAGCACAATTTACATGTCTAATGCTGAAGCACCAGTCCAGACATCTCAGATAATGCAGTAGGAATTGAAATACTTACAGTGAAAATTATTCCCTTGGGGTTGTTTTCTTGGTTTGGGCTTCTGGTAGACTGCAACCAAGATGGGAAGAAGATACTGCTGTTTGCAAGGCTCTGCCCCCTCTCCACAGAGCACACACGTGCCCAGGAAGGCTTCTAGGAGAAATTCCTCTGAATTCTGCTAGGACCAAGTGCCACATCGATAGCACCACTGGGTTTCTTGATGTCATCCCTCAGGGCTGGAGAACAGACTGAGCACACAGCATACAACGTTGTCTGCAGCAGACCTGCGGGGGGTCTCTGCAGACCAGGTTGAAAGGTCATCTCCTCAAGGTTTCTACAACTGGAAATACTGTTAAAACAGGCCGCAGGTCAGACTGTCTTCCACTCTATTCTTCATCTTAAAATAATTTGTTTCAGAAATTAATTAAAAATTGCTTACCGTAATTTGCTGGAGAAATATTGACTTAAGGATGCAGCTGGTGAATGAACCAGAGGTGAAGTAGATAATGAAGCTGATAGCAGCATTATCCTTTTCTCAGCAACAAGTAACAATGGCTGGGCTCTTTCTCAGTAAAAGGACATTCTTATTGCAAATTCCCACCTCTTGCATCTTCCTTCCCATAAACCTGGGCAATCATTGTGTCACTTCCTACACACACAGAAAAAAAGATTTTCTTCTCTTACTGCACTGCTCCCCTTTCTTCCCCAGGAAGCTTTTCTTCTTTTCTTCTTGCTTTTCCTCCATCTAGCCATGGTCCTCTACCCTAATAAGAAGCAACCATGTTGAAAATAACCCTTAAGGATTAGAACCATTTTTGAACCTTGAGCATTGACCAGACTTGGGGAAAACACATTAAAATTCCCTTTAACAAAGTTGGGCAAAAATCAAAGTCCCCACAGCCCCTGGCAGAATAGACAGTTAAGCTGTTTGGTAAAAAGTGTCATCTTTTGCAATGCTGTTTCCATTCAGTTTGCCCTGCGTGCCAGGGAAGCTCCAGATCATCAAGGTCCATCTTTTAATTTCACTCGGGGAATATATTCATATTCTCTGCTCCTTCTCCATAGTGTTCAGCAGAGAAAAAAATACAAGATTTGTTTTCCTTGGGATAACATTGGAGATCAAATCATTGACAACAGTTTCTCTATGTGAGATTGTGTTTTAGTACAGATTGTCTTTAGCAATAGAGAATGCAGAGTGACCCAGCAGGAACCTGGGTTCATTACATCACTGTCTTTCAGAAGCTCTGAACCGAGGATTTGGTAATAACAGAATTAGGCACAGAAGAATATCTTGCACATATAAACAAAATATGGCCTTGAGACTAAGGATTAAATCACCTACAGAAGCAATTAACAGCTGCTCTGAATACAAAATCAAAACTTACCAAAAGGACTTGAGTACACTAAGATTTTCTTTCCTTCATTCAGCTTCTCTGCTATTCCTTGTTTCTGAAGACTTTTTTTGGTCTGGTGCATTTTCTTTATATTATTAGCTCCGCCCATAAAATATGGATCCAAATTCCATGATCATCATAAAAATCATAAAATTCTATGCCCACCATGAAAATATTACATATTAAATATGATTTCTTTTTGTTTGAAGTACATATTAAATCCAAGTATTGGAATGGAGATTTGCCTCCTTGACATCAAGAACCTTAAGACACTGAATTACTTCTCAATTGCTATCATGTTAGGTTTCTTTCTTTATTTTAAAACATTATTTCAGAAGCTATTTATAGATTGAGGTTAATATTCATATTGCCATATGCTGTATGGTATTTGCTCATATACCCTCTTCATTTTTATTTTATATGACATATGGTGGCTGCATTATACACAGCACATTACATACATTCTCCTAATGTATTGCATATGTATATTGCATTTAATACAGTTATATATATATATACATATATATATACACACACCACACTTTAAATTAAAACATTTTGGACTAACAGAGAAGGTAGATTCTCAAAACTGCATTCATTGAGGCTGGTACACATCCATAGCCAAAACACACTGCAGGGACAAAGAAATGCTGGACAACAGAGTAGGAGGAGGAACCTCACCAGTGGCTCCCACCAGAGGATCTCTCCACATTCTTAGATGGCTGCAGCATCCTTCGGTGGCTTAATCTGAGAGCTGTGTACATGGGAACCTTGAACTTTGCACTGGCCTCAAGCACCCCACTGGTATAACCTGAGGGACACTTAATGAAGGGCAGAATTTTTCCCCTCTTGTGGACACCAGAAGTTTAAAATTGATTTTATTGCCTTCAGTTGATAGGCTCTTAATCTCACATTCCTAATGATTCCCACATGCAAGGCACTGTGACTAGATCTAAGCAAAATTATTCCACCAAAAGCTCTCTCTCCAATTTAAAAATATATGTGTATATATACTAAAAATATGAAAACAGGAAAACAGCTAGCAAATTCACTTCCACTTCACTGCACCATTTGCATTGGCAAAGCGTAGGCATACTAAAACTTAGAAATCTAATAATATTAGAATGTCTTAAACAGCAAATTTCAAACACTGTAGTTTTCCTTGATGTCTTCTTCCCTTCTATTTTGAAAGATAAAACAAAGAGAAATAAAAATCAACCATCAAGCAAAGGAAAGAAAAAAAAATCATTTGACAGAACTATTTATCTACATTTAGTATTGCCAAGGAATGGAAACATCAGTTATTCACACAGCTCTAGTCATCATAGCACTCTACAAAGATCAGTGGTCACAGAGCACTCAAGAACTAATAATTAGTTTTTCTTCTTCTTAAACGGAAAAAGTTCTCATGCTAATCATCAAGTACATAATGCTTTCCATTAAAGATTCCAAGATTCAACACATCTACAGCTTCCTAATGCTGAGACACATGACTTACTGAGCACTTTTTTGCAGTTGCTTAACAGGACAGGGCTTCCACCAGCGCTGCCTACCCCAGGCTCTCTGCCACTTGGTGCTCATTTGCCAGGCAAAGACAGAGCTGGTGCTTGCAATAGAAGACTTTGGTCTGCATTTCTGAGAGGTTAATTATAGGATCACAAAGTCAGCAGGGAGAAAGGTGTGGGGGAAGCTTGGCTTGCACTGAATGCTTCCTTGGAACTTGGTCTGTCAGCATTTCAAGGGAAATGAAATTCACCGTTGCCAATGCTCCGTTCCCTAATGGGAACCTGCCACTACCCCTTCAACCCCACTACAGTCCACTAATTATTATTAATAAATAATATTAATATTTATAAATAACAATCAAGAGAACCTCACGCTGCTTTTTACAGACACGCATTACAAATACAAACACCAGCTTCAGAGAAACGAAAGCCTCCCACTTTGACAAGATCAGGGCAGCTGTTTTGGGATATGTTCACAGTTTCCCAATGATTCTGGTAGCAAAACCGAGCCTCGGGGATGCAATTCAGCACAACACAGCTCAGTAGCCTTGTATGCATCAACTGATAAAAGCTTTGAAAAAGTGGAAAAAAAAGAAAGTATTTATTCTACCAAAATTTGAATTTGTATTTGAAAGGTTTGTAAAAGTCTGTTGACCTCAGTGGACTATGTATTCCAGTCTGAGGACAAACCTGATTCTTTTCTATACAGACAATTGTAACGCTATGCAACCATAAAACACTTTCAATATCTCAAATGCATCCCCCAGAAATCCAATGACATATAATATAGCCATTTGATCCTCAAACGCATTTTGTTGTCTGATAGAAGCAGCAAAGCAATGATTTCTTCAAGAGTTCTAGGCTTTAAGTACTGTAGAACAAACAGGGAACAGAAAGAAAAGCCTGAGCAAGATGCAGAAGCCACAAAGAATTTTTAAAGATAGAGGAAACAAGAATCCATCAAGGACAATAAACATGATTAGGAAAGAAAAGACTGTGCTTTTATACACGTATACCTGCACACACACACATATAGGCATGTGAACAGGTGGCCCATCTCATTTCCTTAGAGCTCCTCTTCTACCATCTACAGAACTGGAAACTTCTTTGGCTATTAATACAAGCAAAGAGCTGATAATATTTTTGCAGTCAAATTTTTCCTTTTTCCACCAGTTCCTGAAGCCATGAGACAAATTCACTTGCCAGAAACTGATTGAGTACAGTCCCTTTTCTGACCCAGATTTGTGTCCTTGTGCTTTTTGAACAGATGGATAAGATGATCATTCTTTAAAGATCCTAACTTAAATGAAAACATGTTTAGTGGTTCAAGTGCAGGGAAACACAGAGAGACATCATACCACGACAAATTTGACACACACAACAACCTAAGAGAAAAGAGACAAAAAACAGAAAAAAAAAAAAAAAAAAATTAAGCAAGGGAGAAAACAGCACTGCCTCCCCCACTGCACACCTGCCCCATCCTAGCAGCCACTCCCATCTAAATCCCAGTTCCCAGCATTACCAAAACGAGCACAGAAACATGAAGATCCCTTTTAAAAAAATCACAAAGCTCCATGGAAAAGGTAATGAGACACATTCTGCTAACTGCTTGCCCTCAATTCACAAATGAATATGGCCAGACTCAGACCCAGCTTAAGTATAATAAAAAATAAAATAAAATAAAACACACCAAGACAACAAAACCCAACTGAATTGTGATTTATAGTAAATCTCTGACATTTTTATGGTCCTCAAACCAATAATGCAAGAAGAAACAGCAGACAGTAAGCTCTTGGCACTGGTATTGACTTCAAGGTCAGTGGAGCACAGCAACCTATTGGTTACTGATAAAATGGCCTCTCCTCCACCCAGCTGCTTCTGGTTTTCAGCAGAGAACTTCTTGGAAACCTGCAGGTGTTTGTTATTTCGTGGTACTCAGCTCCCCTACCGCAGCTGATAGAATAATTACTTTGTTTAAACTTTTCAATCAACAGAATTTCTTCTTCCCTTGAGCCCGGAGTTGCCCTATTTAGTATCAAGACTAAAGAAAGCAGGTTAACAGCCTTTAGTTATTTGCATCTACACAGAAGCCTTTTATTCTTGAATCAAAAACAGTATTTCTGTTATTATTCTTTTAACTCATACATAAGGGTAACACGATTGTGTCTGTAAGTAAGTGCCACGTTGAATTTAATCATGCTATTTATTTGCTTTGAATTATCCTGTATTCATTTTTTTTTCTGTACTCTTAGGCATCGATAAAGTGGTTCTTAGTATTACAGTAAATTAAATGCACTTTAAAAGATTATCTTTTACATTTGTCATAACAAGAATTTACATGATGTTTTTCTCTCTTTAAGTGGGTATAAAGAACTTGTATACAATTTCTAATTTATTGTGTAGTATTTATTACACGAAGAACGATTTCTTCACTAATCATAACTCATTAAAATCACAGATTATTCACAATAACCCACAGAAAAAGACCTCTTGCATCAGGAAGGGGGAAACTATCAAAAGATTTTGGCTAAGACAAGTTACTTGTTTTTTAATGCTTTTTCTGGGTGAAACTAAGTATCCTGTTATTCAAAAACTCGGTGGGAAGCAATAATCCTTCCAGAGAAGGAGGAACAGAGGAGAAGCCAGCTGGCCATGACCAGCACACCATAGGGCAGGCGAGAGGAGGGGGGGATAAAGGGAGGTGCAGGAGATGTGCCCTGCCCACATCCCTCTCCCAGTGCAATGCCCACTGTCCATTGCTGCCAGCCAAGTCGCATGGCCACTGCACCAGCCTTGTGTTTCCTGGAGCAGGCAGTGCCCCCAACAGACCACGCAAACTGTACAAGAGAGCTCTTCATGCAGATCTACATAAAGAGCCATTTAAATCTTAGTTGTTAAATACTGCATTCAGCCTGCCAGTTACTTGCCTTTTTTTGCTTCAGATATGTGGCGTTCTCCACATGTTTAGCACTGAAGCAGACATTTGTTTGGACTATACGCCTCTGTGTACTTTTTTAATGCAATAAAATTGACAGATGACTTCTTTTTGCAACAGGTTTGGTGGAAGAAAATGTTTTTTTTCTTGATGGCTGTTTAGACAGCAGTCTTAAAAAATGACTAGTCACTAAAATTCCTCATGCTCATTTCATATTGTGTTGATTCATATTAAATTCATGACAACAAAAAAGCAACTTGCGGCACTTTTGGAAATGACCACTCTTTAGTGCTTCTCTCCTCCAGGCTCGATAGGCCCAGAGTCCATAAAGCTGCCTGCTGTCTTGTGTCATGAAAAGAAACAGCTTTGCCTGGGAATGCCATTACTGTGTAATGAGGCATGCAGCAAAATATACCTTCAGCAGCCACTTGATGAAGGCTTGCTGACACACCAGACCAGACAGAAATGTTTTTTTGTGTGTTCTTCCTTATTTTGTCCATCAATCACATCATTAGTCAAAGCAGACAGCCCTGTCAGCTGGGCACAGATGCAGACTGGCAGGCGATCAGTGGACAGGTGTTAGAGCTCTCCCAAAACAAGATCTCGAAATGAGAAAAGAAGTGAAGACCTTGTTCCAAGGGCTGGAATGTCGATATATTAAAAGGAAAAAAAAAAAAAAAAAAGCAACACACATGCACAAAAATAAAAAAACACCCATGAGGGGAAAAGTTCAGAGGGGGTGCTCAGAGCCACTGCACAGATACTTGGGGAAAGTTAAAAAGAGCTGCCACTTTGCATTACATTCTCATCCCTGCCTGTATCAGCTGGTGTTGGTGGATAACGGCGACGTCCAGCATTTGCTGTTTTGAATAAAGTCTAAAGGACATTATGTAAACAGTATTGTACTTCAGTTTCATTAGGAAAATCCTCCATGGCACATGGATTTATTTGTCCGAAGCTTCTGTCATTAAGCTGAGACACTAATACCCACACCGAGCATATATACTTTCGCTTTGACATGCAAAATGGCAGAGGGCTACACGAGGGATCTCATTTTCATTATAAGAACCAAAAACATAAACAGAGCGAGGTACATCCAAAGTGCCCCTGGTTACAAGGAGCACTAATCATACGGAGGCAGACTCATGCTCCCCATCACCTCGCACAGCCAAACCCCGCAGCCAGCCCCATAGAACGCACTGCCCTGTGCCTATGCTTTTCCACCAGCTCCTTGAAGCCTTGGTGCACAGCACCCAGGAGACACAGGCAACACCTCTACCCAAGCAACCCACCAAGGGCTGCTTGGCTGTGCTCTGCTGAGTGATCTGATCAGTGCCACCTCCATCAGATCTCCTGGCTGCTGCTTTTATATTTCTCTAAACCAGAGCTGGTGCTCTCCTGCAACATTTTTTGTGTAGGTATTTTCGAGCAAAGGGTGTTTCATTTCCTTCCCCTCCTCTCCAGCTAGGATTTTGTCTGCCGTCACACTTTGAATTCTAGAAGGTTTTTAATAATGAGTCTAGGTAATATTGTCTCTGAACAGCTTTGCATACATCATGTGCTTTTTTTTTTTTTTTAAAGTAGTATTTGAGATAATTCTCCACCTCCTTGTCACCAGCCACATGATTAATCTCCAGAAGAATCTCATTGTTCTGTATCACACTATTCTTTCAGATCTGAGCAAAATGGCGCTCTTGTGAGGTCCAAAACAAAATCCTGGGAATATACTTTTATCCATAACGTGCTTCTCACAAGCTTGCTATGGCTGATTTGGCCGAACGGCATAAAAAGGCCTTTTTATTAATCCCAGCTGAGCCTAACTCCGTAGAAGGATGCAACAAATCCCTTGCTAAGACGAATGTGAGAGAATGGCCCTTTGGGAAGAGAACTGTCAAGCAAAGAGTGCCATACCATAAGAACTGTAAAAAAAAAGGGCAAAAACATCCAAGATAAAGCATAGGAATCGAGCAGCCTATGCAAGGATACCACCTCCAAATGTAGTTTGGTTTAGACTTGTTTTAGTAAGAAAGACAGGCCCCTTGAGTGCAGTGATTCTGAACAAGAAATCAATTAGTGCTAATTCCCAGGGAAGTGGAACCAACCAAAGAACTAACCAGCTTCTCGCTGACAGAAAACGAGTTTGCCAAAACCGTGTCACTTTTCAATTAAAAGAAATACAACTGATAAACTAGAAAGCTTCCCCTATAGAAACAGAGGTAAAGTGGTTTGAGGAAAGGGACAGCAAGTCAATTGAGCAGGAGACATGTACAATCCACAGCTAGAAAGCCACAGTGATAATTAAGGGGTATAAATGGGGTCACAGGTTTTGTTTCTTCTTTTGCCTCCTGCCCATTGCAGCTCCTTTTAACATTCTGCAATTACTTGAGTCTTCGCTATTTTCTCCAGGTCTTTGCTGTCCCTTTTCTCACATTGCCCTGTTGCTCATATTCACACTCCACTTCCTCTTCTGTATTTCAACACCCAGTTGTCTGTTATACAGCCTTACCTCTTCCTCTGGGCTTTATTCTGTCTTCTTCCCATCTTTAACCATCACAATTCCCAATTAAACTCCACCATCTTGTCGTTATAGCATCTGCAAAATATGCTTTAATTAAGGTGCAAACCAACACCATGGTATCTCGCATTTAGATGTGCTATCCTATAAAAATAACACAGGAAGCATTCCCAAAGGCTATGGGTTCAGCACACTCACCTGTTTTAAGTTTGCTTAAACTTCAGGAGCACTTGAAGAAGGTTCAGAGCCTGCGCATCCTGTTTGACCTCAAAGAGACATACCCCACAAATACAAAAATTATGCATGAATATCCATTCTTAGAGAAAAGCTGAGGTTCTATGCAGGATGTTGGGGTCCCTAGATTCAGCGATGTGGTAGGTACTAGCTGCAGAGGGTGATACGTATGGCAACAGGCTCTCAAAAGTGAGCCCATTTCATTAGCTAGATTATCGTTAGCTAACTTATCCCAGTAGAAGTTGAAGCATAACAATTGACACAGCTCATAGTTTTACACAACTTTTCTGAAAAGAGATGGCTCCTGGTGAAATATCGACGTAGCCTGGATTTTAATTTGCATCGTTGATGCCTTTGGTCAATTATTTTAGAAACTATTTTGAAAGAGGGGGAAAAAAGGTTCATTCCACTCCAATAAATAATAGTTTGAGGGAAGGAGGAAGAAAGGAAGAGAAATTAGGATCATCAAAAGGTCAGGTGCCTCCATACAGCAAGGGAAAAGGAGCAAACTAGCAGACTTTCTAGCAGACTTTCAGATCTTTCCAATAGCTGACCTTTCTAAAGATGTGCTCAGCATGAAGGGGGCAATACCTGATATAGAGACACACTTCTTCCTTTAAATAAGAATTAAATCCAGCTAACTCTCAGGAGATACTGCTAATCTAACCAGCCGTCAGAAATCTTTGGGCAGATCTAGGTAGGTATGTTTCTCTGGGAAAAAAAAATAAATAGGGAATGCCTCAATGAAGAGGCATTGTTCTACTCATGTTTTATGAAGCAGCATATCACACTGGCTTCAAACCTGGTGAAAGGTCCATAAAAATGGAAGGAATGAAGAAAAGGGAATGTGACTTCTGTACGTACCCCTGCTGATGGCCAGGGGGTCTTATTTCTGTGGGTTAAGTCAAGGCAAATTCAGTCTAATGGCATACAATGTTGACTCAGATTTTGTCAGATCTGGATATTACACCAGACTTCTCTTGTGAAAGAATTAATTTCTCCCTCAGATAGAAAACAAAAATAATTTGGGGCTGGTTTTTGGCTGAACAGATGTGACTAAAGATACTCCTATTTAGTGGCAACAGGAATCTCTCAAAGGCTTGTAGTGAATTCCTTGCACAACCATTGGATTTGCTGAAATGTCAAGGTGTGCTTGGAGTTTCCAGGTTCATGCAATGCATACTTGAAGCAAGTACCCACTGGGTTATAATCTTCATTGACTGCAACGCTTGTCACTTCTTCCAGATGTTAGGACAAACCCAGGCCTCACTGTTGGAAGGCACCACACAAAGTTTTTCTGCAGAGAGGAACATGAGAAAAGTCCACTCAAGCCAGGCATAATTCCAGCCATACTTATACTGCAGTAACATCATATAAAAATCATATGACATTCCCCCATGTTGTGGTCTGGATTCTGTCTTCGCAGCATTGTCATTGATCTACATTAGGCTCTTCAGCAGCCCATTGGGGCTGATTTGTCAATACTTTCAAAGGTTATTCAAACGTTCAAGCTTTATTGTGATTCTTAATGGGTCATCTCCATAGAGAAATTTAGAAGCGGGAGAAAGAAGGATAGGCAGCAATGGAGAAGAGAGAGTGCCGGGCTGGTGTCAGTGTTGCTGTAACATTGTGCGCTACCACAATTTCACCTCATATACTAGAGACATCATGACAGATCCATGCATATGTTAGACACACCAATGCTTTTAAGAATGGCGCCAATAGTTATTAAGATCCAGGCAGACAGAGAGCTCAGAACTAGTAAGAAATAGCAGTGTAGAGAGAACGACACAACCAATTCCATACTGACACTCAAGAGTGTTGTGTTCTCAGTAATCTGGAGAATGGAGTCTGGCATTCTCACATCTGTCTGTTAAATGAAAAACACGAGATTCAGGAAAAAATCCTGCAGTCAGTTCTTTAGCATGAACTTAGCAATGCCTTCTTGAAGGGTGAAAAAAACATTCATGACAAATAGCAAACCCCTGGTGAGCCCATCTCTCTGAGAGCCTAACCTTCTAAAAGCACATACATACAAATACCTACATCTCTCTGGTACTAAAAATTCTACAGGAATTTGACTTAATTATTATGTCAACTCATCTGTTAGAAATCAGAAATAATTCCATTAACTTTACTGCGGTTAAGTCAACATAAATGAAAGGTGACTTTGGCCCAATGGGACCCAAACCACCAAATGAAAAGGCTTAAAGACACACCTCTGGAAGGGGCTGGAGAAGAGATAAGAGCACAGCCTGGCTGTATTCAGGAGCAAGGTGAAGTGTCAATTCTGTCTACCAAAGACTGCTCAAAGCAGGAATTTTGCCATAGCTCCTGGCCACACTAAAGGCAATGACAGTACTGTCACTGAGTTCATCAGGCCTGATGTTTCATCTGAAGTGTCTTTTTTTTTTTTTAAAACCTAGTCTTAAGCTAGACTATTTCATCATTTGAGAACTGCTGGATATAACAGTCATGTTGTTAGAAACTGAAGATTTTATCTAAGCCATACAATTACTTTTAGAAATCACTCTATGAATTTTATTTTTAAAATCTTTATCTGTAGTGTAAATTCAACACACCTGTCAATGAGACTGGCTATATGTCAAAGTTACTACTGAATGACAAGAAGCTGTCCATTAAAAAGTCTTTAATAAGTATGAACTTCTATAATAAAACAAATGAAAAAACCTATGTGATTATTGCACAAAAATGTACCTTAATACATTTCTTATATTCTATCACTTTTAAAATAATAATTTCTGAAGTGTAAGTATCAGCTGTACATAAGGATCTGCCTGATGTCCCCTTTCAAGTAGGCATACACAAAATTCACATTCAAGATGGCAGCATTCCACTGGTCAGAGAAGTTTTGATGGCAGAGAGAAACAGGCCAGTATCTTGTACAGTGAATATGCCAACAGTGGCTTCAAGTTCACACTCCTTATAACACATCCCTTAACCATGAATGGCTTCTTCCTTTAAGGACCACTCATGTGAGTAAAGACATCAGAAAAAAGAAAGGAGTCATACATAGGTAGAGAACAAAATTACAGACAATATATCTGATACAGAACTGCTGTTTTGTATTTTGCTGTGAAATATATTTCTATACTTTGCATTAGTAGTGCTAGGAGAAAAGTTCTTATTTCTACAGATTTGAGATGCAAGGAATATCTCAGCCCTCATGGAAATCTGAATTGTCAGATATATTCACAAACCAAAGTGGGAAAATAGGGAAAACTCAGTATAAAACAAATGAACAATTCTCTCTGAAACATTTCAATTCTCTTTTAGGTTTTTAAAGGAAATCCGTTTCATCTGAACTACAGTCTTACAGGTTGTCACCTGAGCAGATTTCAGAAGTTCTCCCCCAGTATCTCAGAGACAAATAAATTGCACCTTTATCTATAAACTGGCCTGTTTTGATTAATCAGCATTTTTTGATGAAAAAACATTTCATCAGCAACTACCAAATCAGCTCTACAATTTAATTGCTACTTCACAACTTGAAGAAATTTGTGATAGATCTTTCTTTTGTCATTAGAACTAATCAGTGAAATTCAGCTTGATTCGAAACGGATGCTGTGAAAGTAGAAATCATAATATTTGTAAAAACTAACTTTACATCTCAAAGTTGCTTTTTTCTTTTTAATGTCACTTTTCTCCTTCCAAGGAAAAGAGTAAAGAAATCCTAAAAATGCAATAAATAATAATCAAAATATTCTTTAATTACGTTCTTCTGCAAGAAACTCAAACCAGAGACAGCTGACTGAGTTTCCATGCTTTTCACTCTGAAGATTTAATTCCTAAAACTGATTTCTGGATTAAGTAATAAGAAATGGATATTCTTAGAAGAAAACTTAGATGAAATATGTGCAATGACACTGATAGGACCTTAGCACAGATGCCAAAGCTCATTCTCCATCCCATCTAGGTGACTTTTTGATTCCTCTAGTCCAGAAGAAGTGAATTTTTATCAAAACGACTCAGCACAGTCCATTTACTTACTAATGTCAATACTGCTTTTTAGCTCACTTTGTTCTTCTAATTTACAGAGACAACGTACTTGGGGTAGTTGTACTTAGACTTTTAAGGGTTTTAAAAACACTGGGACAGCAAAGTGAGATCTATTACAGTTGTGGGAAAATACTATGAGTTACAGCACAATTACCACCATTGCTAGCAGCAGCATCATGTAGTTAGGATGTAGCTTACATTAGGTAAAAAGGCTCAAATGCCGAATAGAACAATGTACCACCTATAAATCTCCACACATCTTCTATTATTAGGAAAACTCCTTAAAATTCATACTTGATAAAGCAATAAACTTGGTTGATGTATAAGACCTCACATACCAACTGCTGAAATACAATGAGGGTTGTTAAAAGAATAAACCTGTTGAATAAATCTGCTATGTAAAAATTTATCTCAATGTTATATATAATGAAACCCTTCTTAAACAAAAACCTGATAAAACAATAAACCTGTTCAAAGATTAAATTTGTGGCACTCCAGGGCTATACTTCTCTGCTGTATTTGGAGCTGCCAGACAACTTTCAACCTGTTTAATTTCAGCAGTCCTCCTGTTACACCATTTTTTGGCTATTCTGTTTCTATCAGTCCTCCCCTTGTAAAATCTAGGGATTGTCCTACAGTTTGAGTGCAATTTGCTGTAAGTTTTGCCAATGAAAGTTAACAGATTAACTTTTTCATGTTTTTTTTTTTTTTAAATACATATAAAAAGCTTCTCCACACATGACTAATAGTCACTCATTAGCTCATTATTAAGCAAAGGAAGAGAGTAGAGATGCAAAAAGATCTATGTTGCAGAAACACCAGAGTGCCCAGAGCAACTGCTCGTCCCACCCTGGACTGACAGGGAATATCTGCACAATCTGTCCCTGCTAGTAATGACGTCCCAGTGGAATAGGGGAATGTGAAGAAAATTTTAGTATTTCAAAGTGGCAACCACTATGCTGCAACATTAACCAGTAAGATTGGCTCTTACTCATGAGATTGATGGTCTATTTATTTGAACAAAAGCT